TATTGAATACAAGTCTGAAGAGGTTATAATTTCATTGTACAGGTCACTGGTTAGGCCACATTTGGAATACTGTGTTCAGTCTAGGGCTCCTTACCTTAGGAAGGACATTGAATTGTTGGAAAGGGTTCAGAGAAGGGTAACTAGAATGGTGCCTGGGATGAAGGGACTATCATACGACGGGAGGCTGAAATCTCTCAAATTTTGGTAGAGTAGGAGTCATCTTCAGCTAAGACAGTTATATTTTTTTAACAGGGTGGTTGGCCTTTGGAATAGGTTGCCTTCAGATGTTGTAGTGGCAGTAAATTTAAGTGAGTTTATGAAAAAGCTTGATAAGTATATGAATGAAAAGGGCTCGATTTAAGATTTTTATTTTTTTAATAATTTTAATTTCGTTTTGAGGATAGACCAATAGGTCCCATGTTGCCTCAAAATATTATGTTAAAAGCAATATCTCTTTTCTCTAGAAAATAATTTTTTGGAATATTATTATCTCCATTGAATAAAAGTTGATGTTGTTTAAATGTAAAGCTAAACAATAGCTGCCTGTACTCTGTCCACCAGTGGAAATCAAACCCAGAATTTTAATGCTGTTAATCTGTTAACTTGCCACTGACCTACTCGGGGAACAAAAGTTGAAAAGTATTAAATGTGTTCAGTATTTGTACTTTAGCTATGGACTGAAATCTCAAATTTTCCTAATATGTATAATAATACTTTCTTGCCAGTGAAAAACTACAAATGAAATTTATTTTTATCTTATCCAAACTGCCTTATCTTCTTAATAATTTTGAAGACAAAATTAAAATTTCATGGTGTATTTCCAAAGTACTTCCTCATTTTGGCAATCAGACTATAAGAACATTGAGTGTATTTCAACTTTTTTTAAATTAATCATCTACTAGTTTGAGACTATATCCTATATTTTACTTTGATAAAATCTATTTGTTAAGATGATGTTAAATTGGTCATTTGCTTTTGAAATATGTGTAACTGCCATGTGCAGGAATTGAATAATGGGCTTTGTTGTATGGCTATTTTACAAATATCCAGGTTTCATTACAAATGATAAATAATTCCTCTTAAAAGATTATTCATATTTTGGTGATCTTGTAAAATTAGTGAATCACTGGTGTTATAACAAGATAGATAGAGATTTAAAAGTTTCAGTTCTTGCTTGTTCATCTGATACAGCACTAGTTTTGGAAATTCTGGTTAAGAAGTATGCTTGTTCATCTACATTGAATTATTCTGGCACTTGGAACACTGCAAGTTGGCCCCTTTGTGTTGACAGTAAAAATTGTGGTAATATTGTGTTAATATTTATCCCAGAATAAACTTTGAAATGAAACCACTCATTCAGTAAGTTAGGGAATTTTATGTTCAAATCTTGGTGAGTATAATTTGAAATAAAGGGAGTATAAGCATAAAATGTTATTAACATAAAGTTTGTTTGTTTGTTTTGAATTTTGCGCAAAGCTACACGAGGGCTATCTGCACTAGCCGTCGTTAATTTAGCAGTGTAAGACTAGATGTCATCATCACCCACCACCAACGCTTCGGCTACTCTTTTACCAATGAATAGTGGGATTAACCATCACATTATAACGCTCTCACAGTTGAAAGGGTGAACATGTTTGGTGTGATGGGATTTGAACTCACGACCTGCGAGTCGAGCGCCCTAACCACCTGGCCATGTCGGGCCTAACATAAAGTTATGCATTTCTTTCACAAATATATTAGGACCTTTTATTTTTGAAATTTATAAAATAGTGAATTATAAATGTTCTACTTGAATTTTACATATTTAGTACACCAGTTAAATGAAAAACCAAAGTGAGAGTTTTATGCTTAGAATTCAGGATATCCTTTTAATGTTTACTTGACTCCTTAGATTTGTAGTAATTTTAAATCTGAATAGTAGTGACCATTTAACATTTCTTGATCATTTCTGAAACTATCCAAATTTCTTCCAAGACAAAGCATTCAAAATAATTAACAAAAAGCTAGTAGCATGGCATTTAAATTTAATAACTGAATTACTTCATAGAACATGCAATTTATCAGAAAAAAATTCAGTTGTTTTGCTTTATCTATCTATAGCTCTAAAATTTGTCTTCTATAAAATGCTAGATTTATCAGAATTGCTAGGTGGTTGGTTTTGTTCTAGTTACTTAAGTAAGAATGAATAGTTCTGGGCAAATAAGCTAAAAGAATGACTTAAAAAATAAAGAAACAACAAATCCAGCCAGGAAAAATATTTTATTATGTACATACAGTTTTGTTTTTTTACAAAAGCTTCATTAATGTAAATTATTTTAAGTAGTTATTGTATAAAAATTCAGCATATATTCTGCTTTGTTTCAATCCAGAAATCCTCCAGTTACAAATTTGCCATTCAGAACTCATAATGATCTCAAACACATATGTATATATGTGTGTGTTACTTTTCATTTAGAGAGAGCTTGGATTATAAACATTAAATATCTTATAGAAAATAATATAAAAGCCAAAAGGCATTTTGTATCACATGAAAAAAGGATACACTGATAACAGACAGTGTTATCTTACAAGATCTGTATACATTTTTACAAGCTATATTATCATAAAGCATCACACAATTTGGGCTTTTAATGATTTATTGACAAAATCCATCACAATTAAATTACTGCATTTTTCTTTCCAGGAGTGTAGTTATTTTAAACACTATTATAATTTAACCTTTAAGTACTGTTGAAAAAGATCTCCAATCCCAAATAGAATTATATTGCACCTGGGATTTAATAATTTATAGCACATTAAATATTTGAGGAAAAAGTTTGCCGAAATGGTATTTGTATTTAGGAAGAAAAATTTTGTTGGTGTTTTGGCCCCTTACATTGAGAATAATGGTGATGTCAAATTTGGAGCAAACATAGGCAATGTTTTATTTACAACCTGTTTACATATTTAACAATGCAATTGCACTATGCCTGCACAAAAGAACAAATTATTAAACAATAATAAATTAGAAAGAAGGTGGATAATTCTTTAGGAATACATTCATATTTGGAGTTCAGTTTCTGATCCCGATGATGCAATAGTAGCAGGATTAGATGACCTCTGGTATCGAGAATAATGTGGAGTTACCAACCCAGAAATTGTAGCCACTCCTCCTCCTGAAGGTACTAATGGTGAAATAGATGGTGAACGTGTAGCAAGGGGAGAAAGTGCTGGAGAAAAACTGGGAGACATTGCTAGTGAAGAAAATGTACTTTCATGGCTAATTGGGGAACGTGGCAATGATGGTAGGGATGTGGTCTGACTAGTGTGTCCTGAACTGAGTGCTACAGGAGCAATGGAACATGGGGCCACATTTGTTATTAGGGGTGGAGGCAAAGTTTTAACTTGAGGATTAAGAGTTTTCTTTGGAGAATTGGAAAAAGATGGAGGAACATCATCGTCTTTTAATCGAGCAATTTCAGCAAACACATGGGCAAGGGGTTGGTATTGTGGTCCCCAATCTAAAAGGTAGTCCCAATTATAGCTCCCTGTAAGCTCTTCCTCACTATGTACAATAGAACTTAGAGACCCAGTCATGGAGGGCTCACCATCATCCCCAAAACCAAATGCACGTGTTCCATCCATAATAGCATTGTTTTCTTCTGTACCAACATCATTTAACTTGGAATAAATAAGATTTCCAATGTTCATGCTATTTCCTTCTCCACTACCTTCTTCATCAAACATGTGCATGCTTTCTACGCTATGAGCATTTTGTATTTTATTAAAGTCCTGAATATTATGTGGATCAGAATGTGAAGTGTTGATACCAAGTCGTGCTAAGTACTCTTGTGTATTTTGGACAGAAATATCAGACAGATTGTCATCATCTGGATGAATACCCGAGTCAGGGACAGTAAGTCTCTGGATTTTATGTTGCTGAAGGAGAGGTCCTTCATTGATCATTCTTATCTCCTCATCCTCTACATCTCCATCTTCAGCAGATCCTCGACCACTAGAAGCAGAGTGAGACTGGTCTGAAACCTCTGAAGTTGTTCCGTTAATGTGCTGTGTTCGGTTTGCTGGATTAAAATGGGAAATATCATTGTAGTGAGGAGGAAATTGGGAGATTCCTGAAGTATGTGATGGAGGTGAGCGAATATCTATGGTATCAAATGAATTATCAAAGCCCTGGATAACACTAGGCTTACCACTTCTCTTATTTCTCATTCGCAAGAAAACAATTAAAGAAAGAAGTACTACTGCAATGATAGCCAAGACAATAACAAGCCCAAGTGCCCAGGCAGGGAGGCTTCCTTCCACTTTCTCTTCAGCTGATGCAGCTGATGTAGCATTTAAAGTGTAATCAATGGTAATCTCAACCATGGCTAAGCTGGTGAGTGAATAGGGTCTACCACTTCCAGCTACCACAACAAGTGAAACATCTTGGCTACTTTGGTCATGTCTACTTTCTATTGGTTCATAGTTAAAAAGAGATTTTATAGTAATTACACCTGTTGTACCGTTGACTTTGAAGTTTCTATGTGATTCACGTAGATGATATAAGACATGACCATCAACTCCTTCATCCATATCTTCAGCTTTCACCTTACCTACCACAAAGCCAGTAGGTGCATTGCCAGGAACCATGAAATGATAGGAACTATGTGTAAATTCAGGTGGATATTCATCCTTACTTTCAATGTTTATTTGAGCTTGAACAGTAGTATACTTACCACCTTTATCTATAGCCATTATTGTAAAGTAAAACCTATTTTTTGCTTCATAATCAAACACTATATCTGTTGAAACAATGCCCGTTTCCATATTGATGCTGAATTTGTCTTTTCCATCTCCATCTGTTATGGAATAATTCAGTTTACCATAAGTTCCTCGATCACCATCATTGGCATGTGCCATAAAAACTGAAGTGCCAACAGGAGAATTTTCTTTCACAAACTCTGTATACATTAAGAGTGGAAAGTATGGGTTATTATCATTTTCATCGTTTACTTGAATAGTTATGCTAGCTAAAGAAGAAAGTGGGTGTTTTGAATCACCATCAGAAGCTTGAACAACAAAATGGTATTGTTGCACTGATTCATAATCAAGGGTTTCAACAAGTGTGATTATTCCATTATTAAAATTCAGCTGAAATTTATTCTCTGTGTTTCCAGATGTAATATTGTAAGTTACACGACTGTGACCAGTTTCATCTTTATCCGATGTCATCAGGTTAAGCACAGTTGTCCCCACAGGTGCTAATTCTGATAAAAAGACTTCATACTGACTTTGATTGAACAATGGAGGATTATCATTGACGTCAAGAACCTGGATTATAACTTCTGCTGTGGTATTTAAGGTAGGAGTACCACGATCTGTTGCTACAACCTAAAATTTACAAAACACTATATTGTAATTCAATATTAAATTGTTAGACTTGTGCTTTTGAAAAAATTAATACATTTCACTAAATAATGACATATTAGCTATATATACTTATTCAATCTTTTAATATGAAGACAAGAATTAATTAAATATTTTAATACTATAGTGTTTAAACAAATAACATTTATAAAAAAACAATAATTAGTTTGAAGGAACTTAGTAAAGAAATAATAAAAAACAGCAATATCAAAACCAATTAAACATGCATACACCTAGTTAGCCTGCACAACTGAAACTATTAAGCCAGTAGAAATTAACGCTCATTTTAGCATTAAAAAAATTTTATCTCTAATATGTCCTGAGTTAGTAAAACAAGTTTGACCCTGGGGAACCTTGGTTTTGAAACACAAATGTTTATGCACCGTAGGCCCACAAAAACGTATTTTTTGTAATAGACATCATGTATTTACTGTTTGAAAATTTCAATGTACAAGTATTAAAAAGCAACATTAAAAACATGACTATATGTATGCTTTGTTTCAGCACATGATATATTCCAGTATGGTTTATTTCATTACTGGGCTGCTATACAACACAGAATATGAAAAGTTGCAAGGATGATGCAAAGCTACAACACAGAATATGAAAAGTTGCAAGGATGATGCAAAGCTAGAACACAGTTGAACTACATAGTTGGTTCTCAACAATCTGGAGTAATGGAGGGGATGAATGGCACAGATAACACAAACATATGGATGATACAAAACACACGAAAAAAGCTTACATATATGTATGTTTTTCTAAGAAAATTAAAAAAGTTGAGAAACAGATTTTTATAGAATACATATTAAAAGTTTTACATAACCAACAACATAATGGGCTTTACTAAAATAATTTAAAATAATCATTTAAAGTCTTCTTTTTTTTGCTTGATATACTTTTTTTAATTGCAAGATGCAGCTACAGTACATTTCACTGTTGAATCTTGTCCACTGTTTTCAGTAATCTTGGGTATTTGTTGCATTGTCAATATAATTAGTTTGTTTTGACATTTTGTTCTCAATAGTCAATAAACACATGACACAACACTAAAAATTGTAAACTAAATAAGAAAATAATGAAATGAAGAATGAAAATAACAGAAAACAAAATGACTAGGAACTGTAGTGAAAGAAGTTCAAAGCTACACTGAAATATAACAACTTATACAGGATTTTCTGGATCTTGGCATAGTTAAACTGCAAACTGGGTAATAGAGGGTGACTATAAATCATAATAACATAATGCATCAGCATGTTATAACATATAAGTTATAAAAGCATCATTAGGAAAATAAATACATTTAATTAAAAAGTTGTAATAAGATTTGTATAGAACTGTACGTGTGTGTGTGTGTGTACATATATATATATGTGTATGTGTGTGATAACTGAAATTATGGTTATGGCATGGCAGTTGTAACACATATTACACTACTTTTTTGTGATAAAGTTGAGTTTTTATATGTGTTATTTTATGAATAATCACAGTATTTTAATGATTAAATTATACATATATATATATTGTAATTTAATTGATGGGTGCTCTTTCTAATAATGTTTAATGAGCAATATATATAGCAGTACTCTGTGCTTTTCCTGAATGGCTGTTGATCATTCTCCTATTTCAAAATAAGCAGATACCCCAAATTAAATGGATGATAACCTTTGTTCCTATAACTGTTAAAACATGCAATTGTTAATATGTTTTTTCGTTGGTTTCAGGAAAGACACATTACAAAATGGGCTAGTGTGTTATTTGTCAAGCATATAGGGGTGAAGGTGTTGGTATGATTAGATAGCTTAGAGAGAATGGCACCAACAAGCAGAGCTTGCTGGTATCATTCATTGCAGGTCCACCTCCAGGTGAGTTCTTGGAACAATTTGAAAACCATGCTGGACAAGAACAATTATGGCTTCAAGACAGACAATGACTCAATGATTCCTATAATCACAGACAAAGGACCAGTCACACCCGAGTTGTTTAACAATATTGTTGTTCATCAAAGTGTACCTTGCAGTTATTCAAAGAAGCAGACTGCTTGCAATATCTATTGCAAGTGTGAAGGATAGTGCAGAAATAGTACCTTATTGAAAACTGTAGACAATACTGAACAAAATATTGATGAGGGCAGTGCTAAGTAGAGACAAGTAAAAGTTTCTACTTCTGTTTTGATTGGGTAATAGTTTAGTCTATATGAAATATACGTTTCGTTACTGATAACGTGTATAAACATTACCTCATGCAGTATTGTATTACTAATTACTAAAACTGAAAAACAAACTAACAAAAAAATGTTATGTGTATATATAGTGGTGTGTTCCAAACACAAGGAACTGTATAAGTAATCTTGGAGATGTTTTATATAAAACAAATACATTCAGAAGCTCAATCTAGTAATGTTATGAGGTTATTTCGATTTTGAGTACAGACTTTAGCTTTTTCTCATGCTACAAAACAAGATGTATGCCATATATCCTGACAATATTTTACTGTGATACACTGCACATGCTTCTGTCATTTTATACCTCAATTAATATTATGTGAAATGTCTATTTTTGTAAATTAATGGCCTATTATTACTTCCAAAATGTATCGGTATTTCTAATTTTCTTTTCTAAAGGAGTATGACACCAAACATCTAAAATTGTATGAAAATGATTCAGCTTGACAATGCAATAATTTATGTCAGCAACTGAAAATCTTTGGCAGGAAATGCAAAGAGAGAAAATTGGCTTGATGAAGACAAAATATTGGTATTAAAAAAATACTTTTATTCTTGAATAAAAGGTTTTTCTCACAACTGTCCAATTTTAGTTAAAACTTTAGGTTATCAGGCTGAGATAGTTTTCATATACACTTAGAATGCTTCAGTAGGTTTTTCTAGTATGTGAATTTAAAAAAATTTACATGCCAAAACTTTCTTAAAAGTATTTCAATACTTTTTTAAAGAAAATTAACTTCCTACTCTTATGTGTAATTATTTTGTTACAAACAATTTATTTTATCTCATGGTTAAAATGTGCTTATTTCAATTCCAATTTTAGTTTAGTTACTCTACTAAATATAATATTCAAAATTATGTTTGATATTCCACTTCTAAGTGGCTGTTGGAATTTGTAGTTTGGTTTTAAAAAGTGGCCATAATGGTAACTTCAGTATTTAGAAGGTTAAATAGAGCACTTAGATCAATTTGTTTGATGAATAGCATAAACATATTATGTTGCTGAAATAATCAATGTTGCTTTAAGTTTAATAGTTGAACACTGTTCAAACAAAGTAATTTCTAGTAAAGATAATATAGAAATATAAAATTTTTACAAATGAAATCTGAAGATTAAATTGTTATTACAATTAAGATAAATGTAATTAAGGAAACTTTCCTGTACAGTAAAAACTGAAGAAACTCAAAACTAATTATTTTTCTTACCTGTAATGAAAAAGTTTCAACATCTTCTCTATCCAGTTTTTTTACCAATATGATTTCTCCTGTATTTTTAGAGATTGAAAATGTCCCTCCAAAATTTCCGCTAAAGATGAAATAAGAGATTTGATAATTTGAACGTGATTCATCAAGGTCTGTTGCTGACACTTTCAGTACTGTAATTCCAAGGGGAGTATCTTCAGAAATATGAGCACTGAAAACAGAAGAATTTTGGAATTTTATAACAAAAGACTACATAAAAGCATAAGCTCCTTTTTGTTTAAATTGTTGCAGCTCTTTCTCACTTAAAATTACTGGGACTAAAATGATATACAAATTTTGAATATTTATAAGATTACTGAAAACTATTTGTGTAAAAAACAACGTATTGTTCACCTATAGTTACTAGGCAATCAATGTAAAATATAAACTTACTTGTATACTGATTGTGAAAATTTTGGGACATTATTGTTTACATCCACAATCTCAACTTGAACTGCAGCAACATCTGCAAGTGGTGGCACACCGTTGTCTTGAGCTTTTACTATCAGATGGATAATTGGTCGCTTAGGATTAAATGTGAGAGTTTTGTTCGTGTAGATGATTCCTGTGAAAGATAATTATTTTATGTAGGAGATTATTTTAAATAAAGTAGCACTTCAAATACTTTCATGTTCCTTCTAGTAAAATTTGCTTCTCACAATTTTCACTCATTAGGTTACTGATGGACTAGGGTTGTAAAAGCAGCATTTTTAAATACTAGTTTGATAATAACCCTTCATCAAGTTTAGAATCTAAATAATTAACATGATTAGATATAATTTTTAAGATTGTATTCATCTGTAATGATAAAGTAAGACAAAAAGACAGGAATAATAAAACAATAAACTTTTGGAAACTAAATGTTTACAAGACTATATAGGGGAATGACAGAATAAAGGACTCCAACGTAAATGGGCTGTATTCTGAAGATAACAGGACAAGAGTACACAAGTTTAAGACTTGGAAAAGATAGATTAAACTCCAGTGAAGAAAGTTTTATTTTTCTAACAGAATGATTGACTTATGGAATGAGTTGCCATTGGAAGTAGTGGGAGGGAACACTTTACATGAGATTAAGAGGGGAACAAATGATTTCATGAGAAGCAAAAGGGTGGGTTTGCAAGGAAGGCATTAAAATACCAAATGTTCCCAGGTTATGTTAAAATAAAACATATGTAGTTTTAAAAATGAAATACATACATATGTGTAGATATGTTGACAATATTTGCAAAGTAACTTTAGCTTGTATTTAAGAAATCTAAAACATACCACAACCTGTTTAACAAGTTGGTATGCATATAATAAGATCATGAATTTACCAGTATCTTTGTTGATATAAAATCCATTAGCATGAGTCTGTTCTCCTAAGCTATATGTCAGTCTGGCATTTTCTCCAGAATCAAGATCTGTGGCATTTACCTTAATAACAGAATAACCTGGTTCTACAAATTCAGAAAGTTGCACCTGGAAAACAGAGAAGAAAAAAATTATTATTTTTTAATTAGAGACAGTTTTAAATTATGTTGGTTATACAGTTCTATAAAAATTATATATCCAAAGAATTTTCAATGCTCTGGTAGCTAGCTAGGATATTTTAGATCACTCATGTGTAACTTCCTCCAAGGTGCGGGCAAATTGCAATTTATAAATGAACTTGTGGGCCACACTATATGAAGCAAAAGTAAAAAAGACTGTGATTTTCTTAGAAAAATTTCTTGTTATTACCATAAAAAGGGTACAAATAGAGTAGCAATATTAAAAAAAGAAACTGAATTTCCTCTAGTGTGAGAAATGTGACATATTTTCTCTAGGCATCCCCTCTTCTCTCATTTATTCATCACCCCTTCAATGAGTACAAAATTGATTTATTACAGAAGAAAAATATGAGTTTGTTGGCAGCTTGTGGGCTGAATTGAATTATATTTTAAGAACTGATCACAGGCCAGATAAAACCACCGTGCGGGCTGTATGTTGCACATGCCTGCTGTAGTTAATTCTGCTTCATAAACAACAAATTAAGTAAAATATCCAAAAATAAATTTCACTGGTGCATTTGTAATCAGTTACTTTCTTTTTGAAGTTCCTTAATATACATCCATATTTCACCATAATACTTTATCTGGAGAATGGTACAAACATCACTCCAATTTGTAATTGCAACATTATTCTTTTAAAATTTTATTCATCAATGCAAACTAAAAACAGAAAATTATAATGTAATATTAATATTTTAAAACTTAATACAAAAATATATCTATACAAAATATAGGTTTTGATTCACAACTTCTCAAACTGCAAACTAACTTGATAACTCTGCTGCATGAACACAGGTATGTTGTCATTAATATCTGTTACGTAAACTGCAAGATATGTTTCTGCAAGATGGGCCGAGTCTGATACTTGGAGTTGGAGCTGGTACTGATCTTGTTTTTCATGATCCAAAGGTTTAGCAAGAGTGATGCGACCACTAAAGCGATCAATGTTGAAAACTCCTCTAGAGTTGCCTCCTTCTGCGAAGCTATATATTAATGCTGGGTTAGTGTCAACATCATTGGCAGTTATGGTGGTGATCACTGTGCCTACTACAGTACCTAGAATTAAGTAATGAAATACCTAGAGATAAAATATCAGGACAAATGATGACTCAAACAAATGTGGTTGAAACATATAGCAAAATATCCATGTTTTGCAATAATAATTTATTATGGTTTAAAAGGTATATTACTTTTAATAACCAAAATTCCACAAGATATATGAATAAGTTAATTACACTTCCTAAGGTCAAGAAAATCTGAAAGCTAGATAATTTAGCTTTAAAGCTGGATACTTTTAAATTTTATTTCCTAATGAAGAATATACAGATATGTGTATAGAAGCTAAAATAATAAAATAAATCTTAACACACTAAATTTGATATCCAAAGGCAAAGAGAGTTCCACTTGTCAACATTCTTTATCACTGACCTAGGAAGGCTGACAAGAGGTAATTATATTCCTCAAAGCGAAGTGAGATGTGAATTTTGCCACCAAATATGAGCATTCACAACATAACTTGTTGCACAATATGGCAAAGAAAACCTGTGTGCTAGATCAAGATAATCTATATATAAATAAAATATTATAAAAAGATATTTACATTTGTCTAGAAATGGCCTAATTACTTGAAGCTTTAAGAATGAGCAAATGTATTTCTTAGCTTATTATAAATTTGTCTTTAATATTTAGATATAACAACCACTTCAAACATGAGTACTTATTTAATTTAGTAAATGAATTTAATCATGCATATCCACACTATTCTGAATAAACATATGTGATCTTCTTACCTTCACTGATGCTGACTACATTATATGGGGGAAACACTGGTTGATTATCATTTACATCAACAATAGTTATTTTGAGCACACAAGTTCCTGTTAGCTGTGGAAGTCCTTCATCTGTTGCAATAATAGTCAAAAAATAGTTGTCTCTAATCTCCCTGTCCAAGACAATATTTGTTTTAACTATTCCACTGAAGGGTGGGTCAATCGCAAATGCATTGTCATGGTTACCATCAATTATGTGATAAATGATGTTACCTCTTCCTCTCTGATCGTCATCAGTTGCTGAAACCTAAATAATTAATATGATAACATATTTTATAAAATCTAACTGATCTAAGCAGTAAACAAAACTCATTCAAGAATAATAATGTTCCTCGGAAGTAAGAGTTGCTGAAAGTTAGGTTTTGTTTCAGAAAAACATCCATATATAAGTACATCAACTAACCAGAAACAAAGGTCAAAAGGACAATGGTTCAAAGAAATATGGCATTATCAATTTGAATTTTCTGAAAAGTTAAAAGTACTGCAGTACTTTTGGTCTAAATACATTTTTTAGAATTATTGAAGTATTGAGAATATCATCCAGATAGCTGAACTTACTTGAGTAACAAATGTTCCCTTGTGGTTGCCCTCCCAAACAGAAGACACGTAACGTTCTTGAGAAAATCGAGGTGGGTTATCATTTTTGTCTATCAACTGCACAATTAAGGAAGCATAGCCATACACTGGAAGTGGACTTAATGTCTGAGCGATTACAGCTATTCTTAGATGAGGAGAAGATTCAAAATCTAATTGTTTCGGATCATGTACTTTGATATGCCCTGAAAAAATAAATATAGAATATAAAATCTAAATAAATTTACTGGTACATTTATTGCTAAGCAATATTTAGTGAAAGTTACATCAAACTACTTTTCTTAATGTTATTTAAAAATCAATTATTTTCAGACCTTGCAAGCAGATGAATAAATAGAATCCCTTATTTTAATTTTTATCACATAAAATTACACATGAATATCTTAATTTTTATCAACTAACATACAGAATCTGTTACAATTATTTAGAGCAGAGGGTGTTTATCCAATCTTTTAATTTTTAAAATGGTTTTGAATGCTATAAAGATTTCTCTACCTTTTTTCTGGTGTTGAAGTATGTACTAATAATACAACAAAATGTATGTACCCTTTAACATCTATATCTAAGATGTTATATCACAATAACCAAGCTTTACAGATATTATGATAGAAATGTATATTGAAGAAATTCAAGTACAACCTGGAGATTAAAATTCATTTATAAGAATGACAAAAGAATGTATTATTTGTTATATTTCCACCATTTTGTCTTCATGTCTTCTTCAGAAATCTGTACACTATAACACAAAAACAATTTAAAAAGGTATACAACAAAATGACCTATCTTAATCTGTAAAAATACGATATAAAAATTCAAAGGACAGCTCTGAAGGTACTCCATGTTGCATTATTACTGATGAGAATAATATTTTTACACAGAAATGTATAAAATAAAAATTACAGGACCAAATAATTTTAGAAATTTTACATAAGAGAAGGAATATTCAAATAACTTATTAGAGATGAAAAAAAAATACATTTAACTATGAAACAATTTTTAAGAAGAAACAAAAAATACAATAAATCTCTTTCTTAGTGAATATATTTGTTTCTGGGTGTAAAGTGCTTCTCTTTACTTTCTGTCAAAAGAATATCTGGACAATATTATAGCTGTGAAAGGACACTGAGAGCTATCCTTAGAATTTTGCTTTATCACTACATGATGACCAATTTTTCATATGAAGAGGAATTATTTTCTTCTATACCTTTTGAGTAGTTATTGTACTATTGTGTAAACATTCTTGATGAAACTTTAGAAATAAAACCAATATCATCTTATATGGAGCTTAGGATGTTTTTTTGCAACATATATTTTGCTTTGTGTACTGTAACTTTTCCAAAACATTATCTTTCATGCATCATTGTTCTATATTGATGGAAAGAAATAACTACTAACATAAGTATTATAAACTAATAATAATAATACAATATTTTGATGTCTACCTACCTGTTTCAGAATTTATGGTAAAAGCTCCTTTGTCATTTGCTGTTGGAAAACTATACTTGATGATTGTGTTCTGATTATCAAGAGAAACAGCTCTCACACTGGTAACTTCTAAGCCTTTTGGAGGATTTTCTTGAAGCTCAATCCTGTAGGTTTCGTCCTGAAACTTTGGGGGAGTGACTAGTGCTCCATCTCCAACAATAATTTCTAAGACCCCTACAAAATAACATCTGAATATATTTTTTATCCTTATTTCTGCATCATTCACACCTCAAAATGGAGTAAGAAGAATACCTTTTATGCACGAACTAATGAAAAAAGGTTCATTATATTGACTGCATTCAAACATTATACACAAACAATCAATTTAAAATAATGCTTAGAACTAACATGTAATGTAAAGACTATTTAAACTTAAACTGCCTGTATAATTAAAATCCATAGAATGTCTGCTAATTTATTTTTCAGTTTTAATTTTTATGAGTTTTTTATGTTTATTTTTAACTATTAATTCTCTGATACTAAACATAATTTTGTTTATATTTTAAAGTAATTAAAAAAAAACACCAATCTTTTTACCAGAAGTAGCTTGAGGTGGTTGTCCATTATCATTTGCTGTAATTTCAATGTGAAACACCTTGCCTGCATCTGGAAGAAGACTCCCTGTCACAGTTACAACTCCACTTTGACTGTCCAGGTGAAACTTGGCATTTAAAGGTGGGGAAATAAAACTGTTAAAGGAACAAAACTCATTAAATAACCCATATTAACATCAAAGCACAAAGCTAGAGTTTATTATTCCACAGTGCAAATTTATGTTAGCATAAAAGATAAAAATCATGCATATATATATAACAAATATATTTATAACTTGAGAAAGAAAGAACCACTATAGTTTTCAAACATATTTTACTCATATTCTCAAAATAAAAAAAAACACTTCAACTGAAGTATACATCTTGTATGTGAGAATTCTCAATAACAATACAAAAAATAAACTGTTTCTAAACTGCAACAAGTCTGGTCTTGTTCTTTGATTCACCCTTGTTCAGAGGTGGAATTTGCTGAAATTGATCTGACTCAGTAACAGGATTCAAATTCAAGAATAAATTCAGCCTTACAATTTTCCTTCACTTATAAATTCACATTTCGTAATAATGAGAGATGAAATAACATTATTTTAGACAGCTTGTATGCTGAAGAGTTTAGAATGATAAATTAGTAGCATTAATGTTACTTACCCTTCAATTATCTGTAAAAATGTAATTTATTTGTGGTAACTAAAAGCATCTCTAAAACCATACACACAAACTACAGTCTACCACTACAAGTAACTTGGTCATGTTCTTCAACTTAAAAAATCTTGATAAGTGTAAAAAATGTGCAAAAACTGATATATAACTCAGTAACAATGGCAAGTCCAAGAACAGATTGAACCTAACAGTACTTTCTTGCCAAAATTCACAACTGGGGAGAGAAATAAAAATTATAACAAGGGTGTGCAACATTATACAATTACATATGGTCAAACAATAAATCAACATTCAAAATATTTTAACCAATAAAAGTATTAAATACAAATAAATTAAATTTTAACTTATATTTTATGTTAATTATTTCATCCAATAGACACTAACTGATCTACAAACCTATAATGGATTTCAGCATTAGGACCCTGATCAAGGTCTGTAGCTTCCAGGTGAATGACTTGCACACCAGGATGGGCATGAGCTGACACTGATGCTATATATGGATATTTCTTAAATATGGGTTTATTGTCATTTATATCTAAAACTGTTATATGCACAAGAGCTTTTTCTGATCGAGCATCATATTGTCCACTATCAGTTGCTCGAACTTGGAACTTGTAAGATGATTTCTTTTCTCTGTCAAAGTGACTAAAAAAAATAAATCTCACTTAACATTCATCCTTTATTTTATAAATTTTAGTGTGTTTTTTTAAATCTATAATACTGTTGTAAAAGAAAAAGACCATTAGAAAACATTCTAGTGTCAGTTAGTTAAAATTCCCATCAATAACCAATTTCGAAAATAAGTATTATTGTAGTAACAAAATATCAGATTAATGCTATGGACATTTGTTCAACATTCATTAGCTAAAATTTAAAAAGTTCTATTAGTAAAGAAAAAAAAAGGATCATATGATTAAGTTAAACTTAAAGCTTATATTTAGTATGTTCAAAAATTTTTTTAGTTTAGCACTGCATAAAATAGTTAAAATGTAACAAGGCTGAGACAAACAATTACATGAGCAAACTTTGTTACTTTGATCAACATTTTTGCCTCAACAATAAGCAACATTTTCTTTTAATATTTTATTAATTTCACAACTAGCCAGAATATATTCAATATTAACACACAGCTACCTCTGTGAAATATATTTTATCTATAACTTATACTTTACTACAATGTCCATGCCATATCTTGGAGATTATAAGACAGTACATTTATAGCTATTTACAGGAAAATCAGATATCTAACAGCTCATTCCATGTTGCAACTGCTCTGGTATGTTTACAATATGAAAACAATAACAAGAGTAAATTACATAATAATCTTAAGTGTTAAGGTATGATTTTGATTTCCAATTCATTTGCTATAATTAAACATCATCCCCTTGAAAGCAATCTTAAGTCTTCTTGCTATTATCCATAACAAATTCAGGTGAAAAGTTTTCTGCCAATACTTAAACTTGAATCAAAGATCATTGTTCAACCCCAGTAGTTACTATAAATAACATCATATTACCCCCAGCCCCACCATGAGCCAACAAATGCATATACCTATATTACATACAACTATACCAACTTTAGCTTTTGTGTTGAAAGAGGTTATTATCTCGAATTACTAGAAAGGGTTCAGAGGAGGGCTTTTACGACAATTCTAGATTTAGAAGTGTTAGTATTGTTATGTCTCCGGTTGTTAGTTAATTACTCGTAAAAATTATTTCCGAAAAACTTCAGCGATACAAGTCCTTTCTCAAATAAAACTAGTTTATTCTTTCTCAATTCAACTTTGCAGTACACTTAATTTCTACAGTCCATTTAACTTAAACACACGCTATAATTCTAATCGAACGATTCACGCACTTTATTTACTACCGTGCTTGACTCAATTGTCCGTCTATATCTTCAATCTCTCTGTCTGCTATTCAGTTGTCGCCGTCACTTTATTTATCGGCTTATATACTATAAGAGCGCCATTCTAGCAACCACTAGGACCTTCGACAAGTTCCTCAATCTTTCTAGATACTCCGCTGTCGTAACAGTATTATATTCTACGGTTTGTTTGTTTGTTTGTTTTGAATTT